CAACTTTCTCTGCTGAATGCAGCCAATGTTGCGAAAAAGTTTTCTTTTTATGGGTGCGCGCGTTTTCAGCGCTCAGTCATTTCGTCGATTTTCATTAATTCTGTAACTTATATTAGTAGCCATTGTCTGAGACTCGTTGCAAGTGAGATTTGAGTTTCGGCACACGTTAACGCTATCAGCGTCATACGTGTGTGACATATCACCGATTTCTCACTTCAAATTCATCTTTACCCAAAATTTTAACACGTTCTTAAATCTTAACACGTTCGCGCTATCAACATCGTGCATGAGATGGGACAGCGTGTATGACATTTTTCTTTGTATATCCGCATATAAATAAACTCTGTGTTTTACACAATTGCAAATGTAATATGATCCGTGAAGAGAATTCTTCAAGTAAGCCGTGGTAGCAAAGAACATGTTAACAATTGCCACGTGAAACTTGTCGCATGTGAGATACTCGAATTTTTATTCAGAATTAGATCCAAGTTTTTCTAAATTGAGTTATGATACACATGATATTTGTATCTGCAATCGTGCGATTCACAAATGAAAAATTCTTGTCCAACTCTGAGTTTCAACCTGAATATCTCACTTGAGGCGAGTTTTAAGTAATAAACGTTGACCCAGTCCTTAGGGTCATATCAATAATTGTTACTTGAAACTTGTGTTACGTGAAATATTCAAATCTGAATTTAGAGTTACATGAGAGTTTTTATTTGAATTATATATAATACATGACTTTACGTTTGGAATCGCGATTCAGCTGAAAAACTCAGGTCTAACTCTAAATAAAAATCTGAATATCTCATCTGAGGCAAGTTTCAAGTGATGACTATTAATTGACGGAGAGAACTCAGAGTTGGATGTGAGTTCTTCGGTTGAATCGCGATTACAAGTACAGCGTTGCATATATCGCACGATTTAACTGACAAGCTTAGCTCTAACTCTGAATTCGAATCTGTCAATTGTGCGTACCTCACGTGAGACAGATTCAAGTGACGACTATTAATATAGAGTTTTGTCTCCTCTAAAATTTATCTACCCATCTATCTATCTATCTATCTACGTTTATCTGTCTATCTATCCATTTCTCTGACGTATGTCGATTTTCCAAATAAAAAGCGCTTGTCACACGTACACCGTGGAAAAATAACGGTCGCTCGAGAGCCGGAACGTCGACACTGCGCGAAGAACTTGACGGAACGGGTCGGCGGGTTGGCCAACCAAGCCTCAAGGATGAAATAAAACGATCGGACGCACGATCGCCGCGGAATTCACAGAAAATCGCTGAGGATACGTTCTCCGCGGTCCTCGGCACGCATGAGCGATCGTGAGACGTCGATATTACGGCAAGTTCTCGGCGGAAGAACGATATAACGCGATACGGTCGTGCAGTCGCTTTCGCACGATACGCTCCAGCAAGAGCGCGATTAGAGTGGTCCTGGAAATGCGGAGCGCGGTGCACAAAACACAAAAATAGAGACGCGGAATGCCGCGATTCTAGTTCATTAGTCGCGTTTATCGGTGCTGCCTAATGAGGTGCCTAATGAGCACCTCGCCTCGCCCCGTTCCGCGCGTCTCGTTGTTATTTCAACTCAAAGTAGCGCGCTGCGCCGCTAGACGCCGCTATAACGCCGCCTTTGTAAATGATACGCGACAGGTGTCTCCTGTTTCGAAATTGCGCCGCAAACACGTTTATATGCGCGCACATTTTAATGACAAATTGCACAAACGCCGCCGCGAAAATAGCTGCGACCGTGCGAAAATAAAGTTTCGCGAGCGGTACACGCGAGCGGCCGCGTCGATTGATATAAATTCGCGCGAGTACGGCTTCAAGAGCCCCGCCAGATTAACGTTTGGGTCTTTGACACGGCGAGGGAGCTTGCGCAAGCGTCTCCCGCGGGCTGTAATGACAAAATCGCGCTCGCTCATTGTTCGCAGTCCGTCTCGTCTATTGCGTATTATCGACGCGTGCCAGCGATAACGCGCCGTATTTTGCCGGGTCTGCTCTCTCTCTCTTTCTCTCTTTCTCTCTCTTTCTCTCGCTAGACTCGCTGTCACGAAATTGCCGAACCACCCTTCGCATACTTGAGTGCATTCCGCGACTGCGAGTTCGCGGAATCGTCGTGAACGCAAATAGTTGGCCGCTCGCGAATTGCACTCGACTTGGCGCGCCCAGCACACGGAGTACCCACGTTAATTAACGACCCTTAAACCTCCGTCGCGTTGTCGTTATCGGCACGGCGCAAATATCGCGGTCGAGTACTCGTACCATCGTCACGTGGCGGAACTTCCGCTCAAAACCGATGTTTATCGCGCAAACATGTTGAGCGCTAATTGCGTTGATAGTAATGACCGTAACGCGCGCGCGCAGCGCTCGTTAGACTTTCTGTGTTCCCCAACTCACTAATTCGGTGCAGCGCATGAAGCAGCGGAATAATGAGAGCGTTTATTCCTAAACGGCGACTTCCTTCCTGCGACTTCTTTTCATGAAGTGTCCGTTTCGTCGGAGTCTCGCGAAGCAAGAAATAACACCGATGCTGAAAACGTATGTGAAATGGTATGGCGAGTATCCAAAGAGCTGATCCAATTAATCGCTGGTACAACTGTCGTTCAGCAGGACGTGTGTGTGTGTGTGTCTGTGTGTCTGAGTCTGGGAAAATCGCGTGGAATATACCACTCTCCGCGAAAGAGTCTTTTGGATTCGGATCCTCCTTTCATTTTGTCGCCCGCTCGGCTCTTTTCACGGATACTCCGTACGCGAGGGAGTAAATTATATAAGTAGTACATTTATGGAAGATCACTAATCGGGGGTTAATGATATAAGAGTGAAGAAAATGAAACTTGATACATGTTGACCGCCGCGTAGGTTTATATTGAATGTGGAAAGCACCACTTGAAGGCATCAAGGAATGATCTTGGGATACAGGTTACATGACATTTTCCCGAAAACTAGATGGAAAAATGTTGGTACCAACAAAAATCCCTAGGCAACATAATTTTAATTTCTGCGGATTAGTGACAGTTTGTTATTTGACACATACACACGCATATGTCAAAACGACTCCGCAAAATCCATGGACTTGCTACTTCAACAGTGTCACCAATCCGCAGAAATTATAATTGTTGCCTAGAGATTTTTGTGGATATCACCATATTCCCATCTAGTTTTCGGGAAAATATCGTGTAACCTTGGGACAAGTTAAAGAGCAATAATTGAAAAATAACTAAAACGTTTGCGATCGAGCAACGTCTGATTTATCAGGCAAATCTCCGAATATTTAGGATCCACTTTCCTGCGTCACGCGTCTCTTTCTCTTTCTTTCTTTCTATCTTTTAATGAACGCATAATTTCGACGATCTTGGTTGTATAACCGCGGACAGACGGAATTCGCGTGGTGCATACCGACAATACTGCATCGAAAGCCGCAAACGAAATATAGCGCAGGCGCACGCGGACGAATAGCCGCGAATACTTATTTCTCTCTCGTGTCACGCGAGGCAATAATACCGTGCGACACGATAGGATCTCATTCGCTAAATATAATTTTCTCGCTTTGCGCGTACGTGACCTCGCCGAGGTGGTAAACAAAATCAGTTTGTCGACATGGCAGCGAGGTAATGTCGACACTTTTCCGACGTGTGTACGTGTGTGGAAATCCACCGGCCCGATCTCGCCGCGACGCGTAACAGCGTCTTACGGCTTTCCAGGCGAATTCGTGATTAGCGAGCCGGAGCTCGCCTTATGTGAAATTCTCTACCGTGTAGAGAATCTGTCGTGCTTCCTACGTACACGACTGCTTACGGTCGACGACGAAGTGCGGTAACGAGAAAGAAATTTATCAGCGGGACGTAAGACACGAAACGTCTCATCGTCACGTCGAGATACTCTAACCAAATATTGTCAACGCCAAATACTCAATGTTAAATTCATTTTCGATGTGTTTGAGATTGATGATAAGGCAAAAGTATCAATTCCCGGACGTGTATCTAATCCTGAACATTTTTTAGTTTTGGCTCTTAAATATGAATGTTTAAACTTTCAAAATAAAATATATGCATACATATCTTTTATATTGAAAGTTTAAATATTTAAAGACCAAAAACAATATATATCAATATAATAGAATATATGTATATATATATATATATATATATATATATATATATATATATATATATATATAAAATATCCGTATTTAAACACCAAAATAATAAAAACATTCAGGATTGGATACATATCCAGACATTCTATCTTAATTAATAGTATTAAAAATATATTAGATTGATGCAAAAAATTGGTCATATTCGTCAAATAAAACAAAATGAGATAATCCGATTTTCTCCGAAGGATTATTAATTTTTACGAGTAATGTGAGCAACATCCACTTTTCTAGATATCTAGCGCGCGAGAACTTTCTATTTTCTTTCTGATACCCAAACATTCTATGAGGATTCGAGAGAAAAACGACAAATCTTTCGCCTAATATCAACCGACCTAACGCAAGTGCATATAATCGTCTACCCAATGACAGGTGTCGGACCTGTCAACTTGTGTCCACTAGCTGCACCACTTCACCGCGTCCGTTACCTCCGGAGATCGAATTTAGATCGCCAGAGCGCAGCTGCAAGTTACTTTCTCGTTTAACCACCCTCGAACTTCGCTGCCACTTACGCCTCGCGCGATTAATACCCAGTCGTCCCACTTGCTACGTTCTACAAGACGCTCGTCGCGCAGTAAGTACAACTCGACGCTCGTGGACAAGCGAATTTCCACTATTGTTTTATACTTGGCATGCGCCAAACGACGACGAACGTCCCAGGGCGAGCGAAATGACTGCACACACGCGTACCCTCCTTGAGATCGTGACGACTGAATCGCAAGAACGCGTGCATTCATTTTCACACGTGGCACCGTGTGAGATCTCAGGTATCGACGAAGCGCGAACGCGAGATTGCGTAATTACGATCGTGAATAAGCGAATAGCTCGACTCACGCGTAATTCGGCCCAGCAGGCCGATCTGTCGCATCCTACTCCTCCGCGGCTACCTCGCAGCCTTGCGGGAAGATCATCGGCGCGTGGAGCATCACGTCCTCGCAGGAAGCACTACTCCTCGTCATTCGCGCACGTGCACCATCGGCGTTATCACGGCTACTGGCGTATCACTCCATTATCGCGGCGCGTTGTTCACTGGCGTCGCGCGTCGAGCACTTTCCACCGGGCCGGAGCGGGTCATCCACTTGATTGCGCCGCTCACGGGGAACATCTCCGGCTGGGCCGCGCTGGTGAGCCCTGAAGAAGCCCTCTCGGCCGGCTGAAACTCGCAGCGCGGCTCCCTTACTCGTCCTCGATCGGCCGCGTGCGAAAATCGACACGATCCGGAGCGTTCGTTTCCACCCGCGGGCTAAACGACCCGGACACCTGCCGCTCGCTCATTCTGTCCGTCCGTCGTCCCTTCCTCGCGCACGGTGCGACGATCCGCCGCGATTGTCGAGGAAGGCTCTTATTGTCGCGTACTCTCGCGTCGCGCGGAAGTCGACGCTCTCACCTCACCTTTTCCTCACGTATTCGCGCACTTCACAGAATTTCGTCGCGTTTGTACACAGGAGGCACAAATCTGCCGAAATTCATTCGCGAATCGGTACGAGCCGCCAGTCGCGCTTACGACGCGACAAATCGGATAGATCCGCCGCGTTGTATCGCGCGCGAGCCCGGCTCCGACGCGACGAATCGGCGCAAGCTCCGAGCCCGGAGCTTCGAGTCTCGAAGTCGATTTCGCGAGCGCGCGGAAACATTTCCTCCCTCTCTCTCCCTCTCTCTCCCTCTTTCCCTCCCTCTCTCCCCCCTTTCTCTATATTTCTATATATATATATATATATATATATATATATATATTTATTTATATATTTATTTATTGTCGTCTCTTTCTCTGTCCGTGGAGAAATACAAGACGAACCACAGTTCGGATTTATTTCGACTGGAAATTTGGTCACCACTCTGGGACCGTACGGGGCAAGCTTTCTTGGAGCGCGATGACTCGGGAAGATGAGAGAGGAGGAGAAGGTAGAGAGAGAAAAAGAGAGAGAGATATAGTGAGCACAGTAACGTGCGATGGAAAGAGACGGTCGGCTAAGTAGAGATCACGAGGGAGAAATAGAAGCGAGCACACGAAGAGAAGAGAGAAAGAGGCAATTCGGAGCACTCGCGTACTCGGCAAAGCTCGCAGCGTGGCGGGTCGGCCGCGACTGAATCGTTGCCGAGTCGACTCGCGTCGAGTCGAGTCGAGCTTGAATGAGCCAGCGTAGCTCGGGCTCGCGAGTGGGAGAGAGAGGGAGGTGGATGCCGGGCGAGTGGGACGAGGACAGAAGGTCAGATATATGGCACTGGGGGAGAGCTTAAGCCACGACCAATGCCACCGGCGAAATTTCCGAAGACCCGTGCCCGCAATCTTTAAAGGGATCACGCTCCTTTTGCGGCGGCGGCGGCGGCTTTAAAATGGTTTCACGACAAACATCCTCGAGAAACCGAGTTCTCAACGGCGCTCTGCGTCTCTTAGTCGAGACGTCGGCGTAGGGCTGACGTTTGCCGTTAATCCTTCCACTGTCAGGGGATGATCGGCGCGGAACAGATGTTGCGTTTCACTATTAACCTCATGTAAATAGCTGTCACTCGCGATCGTCGAGTAACACGCGGAAGGAAGAGGCGGATAGATAGACAGGTATAGATGGATGGATATAGAGATCGGTTAATTTATTTTACCCTGGGGGGACAAGGACCCCTTATGGAATCGACCTACAGAGAATACTTACTAAGTAGTACAAGTGAAGCGAAAAGAGAGAAAGAAAAAGAATGGAAGAAGTGTAACGTAATAAGTAAAGAGGAAAAGAAAAGAGAAAAAGAGACTATCACAAAGTTGGACATACAACGAACAATGAGGGCGAATCGTGATAAAGAAGCGTCGAGGCAATACTGAGTGCAAAGCTGCACGGA